TGCAAAAATTGTTTTTTTTTTAATCTTTATCCAACTGATTTACCCGGGGGTGGAGGGCGGGGTCCTTCCGCGAATTTTGGATAGGGGTGTGCCACGAAGGTTTGTGAACCCTAACCCTATTTAAGGACTAAGAAAGCGAAAAATGATATCCTTTGGAAGGCCCAAAGCCGAAAAATGACACCATATTCAAGGAAAAAACAAAATTATTAATAGCATGAAAAGGAAAACTTTATTTCTTCTCCGTAACATTGGATGTATAGCATCAAGCATAAAATACTAGAATAAGCCTAGTTTAAAAAAATGTTTGTTTAGGCGGGCGTTTTCACTCCAGTATTAGATAATACAATTAAGCTACCCTATCTAAGGACCACACCAGGGACACAGAAACAAAAGGGTCAAAAAAGATACCCTATTTAAGGACCGAGAACCTCAAAAACCATACCCTATTCCGCGGCATGTACCTCTACAGCCCATATATGGGAGTACCCCCCCGGGCTGATTTAGTAACCATACTAAAGCAACTATCCCCTAAGATTCAGCATATAGCTTGATGCTTCTTGTCCCGGTATATATATCCATACAGATACATGTAGGGATAGTTGTATACTATTTGGTGGTAAAGAAAGCCATTCATTATTACAGGGTATCATTATATAGGGGTTCACTATTTTGCTATTTCACTGTCGACCACTGTACTCATATTATGACCCACACAGAAGCAGTATTCTAATACTGTTTTGTGGGGGTTATAAAACTCGATTCAAAGTGAAATCCGCAGTGAAAATAGTTTCTGATGTACTCATACCTTGCTGTCTCCTGACTGTCAAGTGCCAACTGTGGTGGTTCTGATCCCAAACTTAAATAACTGCTTTTACTTTTACTCCTGTAATTACAATGACAGTTCACCTCTCTCTCCCTTGGTCCACCACCAAGCCGATATGATGTCTTCTTAACTTCTTTCAGCCTGGAGAGTGACTGGTTTGCATGGTGTAACCAATCCTAAAATGTTTCATAATAAGTAATTTTCCCGAATTTTGTGCTTCATATATCCAAACCTTCAATAATTAACTTCCTTACAAATGACCACAAGTAACTTTTCTTTTAGTATCCTTACAGCTAACCAATTCCTATACATACAAATTATTTTTGTTCTAACAACCTGCAAACTGGGATTGATTGTCCAAATAAAGAAACTTTAAGATCCAGCAAATATATATTTGCATGCGGGAAGCTTTGCCCCTCATTTGTTAAAATCAAAGCACATTTATGACAATGATTTCGATTGCAGCTTAATAAAAATTTAATATAAATTTCATCTTAAACAGCCAGTATGCTGACATATAACTGTGACCTGTGGAAGTGAACATGTGACATAGTAAAACGTTTTTGCTAACTCTAATACAGAAAGGGAACAATCATAATAAACAACTAATAATACGAAAGCTTGATTAAACTAAGGACAGTTTTTGTTTTTGAAAAAGCGACATACCCGCGTAGCTGGTAATTTCCCAGCTGAGTAAAGCTCATTTTCCGTACATTCCGATTCATCCATATTGGCATAAAATCCCCACAACAGCAGGTCGAGTTTTAAATTTTGCTTTCATGTTCANAAAGATACCCTATTTAAGGACCGAGAACCTCAAAAACCATACCCTATTCCGCGGCATGTACCTCTACAGCCCATATATGGGAGTACCCCCCCGGGCTGATTTAGTAACCATACTAAAGCAACTATCCCCTAAGATTCAGCATATAGCTTGATGCTTCTTGTCCCGGTATATATATCCATACAGATACATGTAGGGATAGTTGTATACTATTTGGTGGTAAAGAAAGCCATTCATTATTACAGGGTATCATTATATAGGGGTTCACTATTTTGCTATTTCACTGTCGACCACTGTACTCATATTATGACCCACACAGAAGCAGTATTCTAATACTGTTTTGTGGGGGTTATAAAACTCGATTCAAAGTGAAATCCGCAGTGAAAATAGTTTCTGATGTACTCATACCTTGCTGTCTCCTGACTGTCAAGTGCCAACTGTGGTGGTTCTGATCCCAAACTTAAATAACTGCTTTTACTTTTACTCCTGTAATTACAATGACAGTTCACCTCTCTCTCCCTTGGTCCACCACCAAGCCGATATGATGTCTTCTTAACTTCTTTCAGCCTGGAGAGTGACTGGTTTGCATGGTGTAACCAATCCTAAAATGTTTCATAATAAGTAATTTTCCCGAATTTTGTGCTTCATATATCCAAACCTTCAATAATTAACTTCCTTACAAATGACCACAAGTAACTTTTCTTTTAGTATCCTTACAGCTAACCAATTCCTATACATACAAATTATTTTTGTTCTAACAACCTGCAAACTGGGATTGATTGTCCAAATAAAGAAACTTTAAGATCCAGCAAATATATATTTGCATGCGGGAAGCTTTGCCCCTCATTTGTTAAAATCAAAGCACATTTATGACAATGATTTCGATTGCAGCTTAATAAAAATTTAATATAAATTTCATCTTAAACAGCCAGTATGCTGACATATAACTGTGACCTGTGGAAGTGAACATGTGACATAGTAAAACGTTTTTGCTAACTCTAATACAGAAAGGGAACAATCATAATAAACAACTAATAATACGAAAGCTTGATTAAACTAAGGACAGTTTTTGTTTTTGAAAAAGCGACATACCCGCGTAGCTGGTAATTTCCCAGCTGAGTAAAGCTCATTTTCCGTACATTCCGATTCATCCATATTGGCATAAAATCCCCACAACAGCAGGTCGAGTTTTAAATTTTGCTTTCATGTTCAAAGACGGGAAGATAGAAAGAACAAAACCCTGATATAAAAGTCCTAGTAACGGTAAACAAATCCAAAAATCGCGAGGAAATCGGCCGCCATCGTTTTTTCGTTTACTCAATTGTGTATCCGCTGACCAGAAAGAGCCTGCATCCTGTTGACGCCGAGGGGAAGGGAAGAGGGGGACACTCAACAACTTTTTTTACGGCCCGCTCCGTGGTCCAGCTCCTAACCTTTTTAAATACCATTTTAGAAGACAGATTTCCCTACCATTTGTAGACAATCCCAAAACCCGTTTCCGGTTTCTGCTGGTTAGACTTACGTCCGCTCGCTCCGCCTGGCGAGCGTCCCTCTCACGAAGTCGACTTGTGGCAAGTTTAGGCCATTTCATATACCCCTTACCCTTTCATATACCTGAAACTTAAAAAGGAACCACTTACGGGGAGGCAGTCTCCCTGTATAGGCCACTATAGGGAGTACCGCTGGGGTCCCAGGAATTTTACTGGCAGGTAATTTGCCATATTGTTGGAGCACCTGTTTGAAATGGCTTTACTTTAATTACATGAAAACTCCGAATTGTCAAAAACATGGCTGTGAACGTAAACAGTTAGCTGGCATGGAAATACCCTGCATAACAGGCGTTATTTTCACGTGTTTTTCAGGCGAGCGAAGACCGAGCGCAAAGCGAGCGAGGAGCGCCAGACAAGCGCAGAAAAAATTATTTCCATGGAAACGACAACTAAATTCGCCGAACACGCGACAAGTTATCTTAAAACTGTATCTTTTTTTTTAACTTATAAATTTTAGGAAAATACGCTCATTTTTGGGCTCTAGCCTGAACATTGATAGCCTGTGAGAGCATCCGGTTTTTTCGACTCTAGTTTCACCCGCCGAGAAAAAACGAAGACCGAAAATACGTCTGCGGTTCACAGGCCAGGAACATTGATTATCTTCAGTCGGCGGGGTCTCGATCAAAAGCCCTCTTAACCAAGAGCTAATTAAAGTAAAACACTGTTGTGACCTAAATAAAGTTTCAATTAACCTTACAAAAAACAATTTTATGATTATCAAGTCTCCGAAAAAACTTCCCTGTTCAAAGTAACTTTATCAAACAGCGAAAGCACAAACTTTCCAATTGAACAAAGAGATAAGTGTTTTTATTGATGACCAGTTATCTTGGAAATATCACGGCTCATTTGTTTGCTCCATAGCATCACGAAATACTGGTATATTTTCCATGTCATCATGTTCTTCCCTATTAGAGCTGAAGCAGCTTTATTATTATTGATAACCTGACATATCCATACATTTCGTATGGCATTGCTGCTTGGCAAAACGAAGGCCTTTTAACTGGCTACAAAATTAAGTGCCGCTAATTTTAAATCGTCGCTACATTAATATAAAGTGTGTAAAGTGCAGTATAAAATTCCACCATCTGGTTAGTTACACACTCTTACTTTGCTATTTGACGGTCGTTTATGACGTGTATCGTTGTCTTTATCTGACAATGTTATGTGTGAAGACAGCAGTAAGATATTACATTACAGTTGCAGTTCCGTTTGTTTCGTTCAAAAAAATTCAAACCCAATATAATCATTTGATAAGGATAGTCTTCTTTCCTACCTAGTGCTATCTCTACTTTTCTTACACTTACTAAACATTCTAACTGTTGATCATGTATACAAACTCCATAGTTGGGATAAAAAAAACAATTTCCGTCAATCTTTGACGTACGTATGTTTCCAGTATGCCTAAAAAGGCATAGCGCGAGCGCGAGCGCGAGCTACCTCTAAGTATCAGACAAAGTCAGAATTTAAAGACCTTTAGCTCCTGAAATTTAAAAGTCAAGCTTATGGACTGAACCAACTTGGTCAATGTCTGAAACCTTTCATTCCAACAACGTCAAAGCGAACATTTGAAAGCTATATACGAAATTCGAGGCAAATAAAGAATTCATGGAAAATCTCTCCTTACATGTTACATGTTAGCGCAGTGCTATAAGCGTGTTTTGCACTTGTGGCTGCGTGAGTGCTACTCAAAAAATTACAAAAGTGCACTGCACTAAGTTTCCGTTTTAGCCGGGCGTAGTATCAGTCGCTTGTTAATGTCAACGCTGTTGTACGTTTCGATCCGCCTCCTCATGCCCTCTTCAGTCTCTGAATTGCCTCCACCAGATACACCCACACGATTATGTCGTTGTTCACAACAGATTAATTTACGGAATTGTCTCTTAAACACGGGATTCATCCCCGCGTAGATAAACGGATTTATTGTGTTGGACAAGTAAAGGAAAAACATGCTGAGTAGCTCCAAATTTCGTGGCATCGTTGCGACGAGATGAAAGCGCTTTAAAATAACGATTACCCAGAATGGGATCCAACATATCATAAATGCGAAAACGACAGCGAAGAGAGATTTGCTGAGCTTGATCTCGCGGGTGGAGATGATGCCTCTGCTAATCCACTGCTGTGGATTGTAGACGATGCATCGGCATTGTGCTGTTGGATTGTCTTTGCAACTTTTATGTAGCTGAATATTGTTGTTGCTAACGGTGTTAAAAGGAACAAACAGAGCACAATGGCATAGTGGGTCATTTTCCCAGCTTCGCTTAGATGAGCTGGGCCACAAAGGGCGTAACCTGGAACGAACATATAATCTTGGAGACCAGCTAACTTCGGTAAAGCAGAATATAAAGCAACGAAGATCCACACACAAGCCAGCCATGCGCGTGACTTCCTCGGTGTAAAGAATTTCCTATATTGCTGCACCGACTTGCAAATTCTCATGTACCTGTTAAAAGCTGTTAAGCCCATAGTTACGGGTGAAACGTAAACTACAAAGCTAGTGAAGAAACCATGTAGGTCACAAATTACTCGTCCGTAAACCCAATCGCTTGTTGCAAGCACACCGACTGCAAGAGGCATTACAAACACAGCTGAAATCAAATCGCTCAGAGCCAATGCGATAATATAAAGGTTTGTTGTTGTACGAAGCCTTGTGTTCTTGTACACTGAAATACAAACCAAGCTGTTTCCTGACAACGAAAGAGCATTTAAGGTAACAAGCGAGCTGACTTCCACGATGGTTAAAAACAGACTGCGATTGCTAAGATTGATATCCATCATTGTAGCTCTTCTTCAGAACCCAAGCACACCTAAGGCAGGGAAACGACTTATGCTCAGTGGTGTCAAGCTGTCAATGTTTCCCAATTTTAACTTCCCAGTATTTACTTTTTTCTTTTCGGTAAGTATTTGAAATCATCCCACCTTTAGTCATTTTTTGACTTTGGCCGCCCGAATGCACAAATGCATCCTTAAGATGGCTGCTAATGCCTATATCTGCTAACTGTCCACATTAAATCTCATCCAACTGTGGATACATATCATACACACTGTTCTTTTTAAAGCCTCCATGTAGCTTTTTAGTCTCTTACGTAGGCCCCTCCTGCACCTTGAGTCAACACCTAGCAAATCTCTATGGTGAATGAAAGACAAATGAGTGGTGATTAAAAGTGATGACTGGAGATCCGTAATGAACTTTGCCACTAATATACACCATAATCAAACAACCAAGAGCTATATTTGCTTTCTGTTTTTTACATGAAAGGTTTGGCCTTCTCTCAAATATTACTTAAATTTTCTGATTGCTTATTTCAATTGTGGCGCTTTTCTTACTATAACATCCGCAATAGCAATAACCACAATTTATATGTTAAATAATACACCATGCACCGCTAAGTTTACATTTGAAAGGTAGAAAAAGAAAAAACAATTATTAGTTATAAAACTTGGGCATCCTTTTACCTCAGTGGCTCTATTTTTCATTAAAAGATAGACTTTTGTTTGACTAAATTAACGTGTGTAGCCGGCGCATGGAAAAGGTAGGTTTAAATTTACTTATTTAAATCCTGAATGAAAAACATATATACTCTTTGCTGCAATATTCGTTTAGCAACAATCGAACGGAGACTTTGCTGTGTGCCTTTTCGCAAGCCCCAGCTTTGTTTAGCGTTTTGACAGGCATGGAATTGGAAAGAAGGTGACCGTTGTGAAATACAGTAAGCGCCCGCGGATAAAAACCTACTTTGTTGAAGTTTGGCATAATAAGTTCTTATATTTCGGGGTACTTATTGGCAATTTTCCAACGTAGGTTCTTAATTAGGTTCTTTTAATAAATTAAAATTTCTATGTAGGAGAAAAGTCGGATAATCGATTGTTGATTACCAGGAAAAAAATAACTTGGTTGTGGTCCTTATATACAGTATTTATATTATAACCCTAACAAAACTAATTAGTAATTTACATACAGTAGTGGTACAGTGTGTTCTTGTTATACTTATGATTAACAACAGTTAAAGTTGCACTCCTTGGTTAAATTATTTATCATGATTTAACTGTAACCCACTTAAAAGATCCTGCTTGATCTCCCTTGGCTAAAAAGGTTGCTGTATTTTTAGGTGCTAATAAAAACAGCGAATTTCTCAGCCAGGATTATGATTTTTCCCCTTCGGCTTTTAAAAAACGCAAACCATGAATAATGTACGAGTCACCTGCAAGTTGTATTATGAAGGAGATGTTTCCTTCGCCGCATTTGTCAGCAATTCAGTCTGAACAAACTCATTAGGTAACGCTTTCGGTTTTTCTCTAGAAAAGAAAACACATAGCTAACAATCAACGCCATTTCGTTGAATTCCTAAACAGGTCAGTCTCACGGTCAGGCCAAACGATTCAACATGATACATTAATGATACATTAAGTCTGCGCAGAGGAGGTGGAAAAAGTCAGGGAAAAAAAACAATTTGACTCATCGACATTACCGCCTACACTTTTATCCTCAGCTCCTCTATATAAGCGCCCTATAGAGGTATATAGAATGAACTAAGGAATATCACATACGACACTTATAAGAAAGACATTTTACAGAGCGGGGATATCATTATAGTCTCCCCCGGTCTAACTATTCAACTGTCAGGAGGACAAAGAATTTAATTGCGATAATTCTAATGAAATTAAGACGGAATCTATCTGGAAATTGAGTAATTTTAATTTTCGTAGACAAAAACCTTGTACCAGAGTAATTTAAACAATATCGCATTATTTTTTTACATTTTTCAAGGGCTTTAGATGTAATTAGTTATCTCTAAAAACACCAAAAAAACTTTCTTACGAGAGCCCGAGAAAATAATCGTCAAATTTCACAAAATGACACCCCACACATGAAAGTTTCAGAATTTTACCTGTGTTTTCACAATTCCTGTGAAATTTGCCATCTATATTCTCAGGCTCCCTTGAGAAATAGTTTTTGGTTTTATCACAGATAACAAATCATATCTATAGCCCCTGAAAAATGTAAAAAAGAATACGATATTGTTTAAATGATTCTGGTACAAGGTTTTTGTCCACTGAAAATTGAAATTACTCAATTTTCTGATGGATTCCGTGTTGAACCCTTAACTGGGGTATATGTATTTTTAGACTGTGCTATGTAGTATGCAGTATTAATAGGTTCTAACTTTTGAGTCCCCCTGCCAAAGATAAGATTTTCCAAACATTAATAAAACGTCGGCGTTTGGCTGACATTTTGTATAGTGGCACTTGTTATTCACTATTTAATAATGAAGTTGTAACCAAATGTTGTATATATAATCAGTTCTCTGTAGTTTTAATTCTTCACTCCATTAAAGCATATTTCTTCACATGTTCATATTTTAGAATTCTGTACTCTGTTCTACACTTAAAGGATTCATCGACAACAATCCGCGTAAAAATTCGATGATCTACACTCAATCCACACACTCGATCAGCTGCACTACTCCGAACGACTACACAGTTCTAAGACTCTCGTGCAAAGCTCAGTTTTCAGATCACGTGACGAGTTTTCCCGCCACAATGACGCAATAATTTCTAACAGAAGTGAAGTTTAGAAATTGGCCGCATTTTTAACTGGCGCAGCTCTTCGAAACCTCTGAATTTCATTTGAGTGAAATGAATAACGACATTAGAAGAGATGCTGACCAAAATGACAAACTGAGAACAGACCGAATATTCAAAACAATAGAAAATTACAAATGTGAGGATTACCTTCGCCAGGTCACCAACACCCGCCACAGAATAACTTTAACAAAATTGCGATTAAGCAACCACAAACTCGCCACAGAAAACGGGCCGATACTTATAAAAACCTGAAAAAAGAGCACTGTATGTCCAATTTGTAAACTAGAAATGGAGGAAATGGAATATAACTGGAAATGAAATGGAAATGGAATATAACTGTATCGAAACTGTACGCCCTGCTTACCAGGAAAAAAGAAACGTTGTCACCGTATTCGATAACTTGAAAAATGAACATCTTATAAGAGTGAACAAAATGTCACCAAATGAAATTTTCATGTTTTTAATAAATCCCCCTAACAAGAAGTCTGAAAACCAAAAAATTGATAGCGGAAGCATGTGTTCAAAGAAACGAGAAGGAAGCCAAAAAGTAGATCAAATATGTGTCTGTGTGTATGTAACTATCGTTATTTCTAATAACTTTTTATGTATAATGTAACAAATAGCCTCACATCTGAACCACTGCAATTTGAAATTATTTGGGAAACAGTCGATGTACCAGAAGTGCATTTCTGCTGTCCGTTGTCGCTGTTTCAAGGCCATGTCGCTGGCCGGAATTTAATGTGTCAGTGCTAGCATCAATTACGGAGCGGGAGAGAGAACCTGGGAACGAGGTTGGGGGGGATGGGGCCGGGGCCTCTATTTTATTTTTAGGGTACGGGACTAATGGGAGATGGAGGCTCCGGGTCATAGGCTCCTGCTGGCCAAACTGAAGCCTGCAGGGCCAAGAAATATTATTTTCGAAGCTGATTCCCCTTTTATCTGAGATGAGCGGGCCCCCAAATCCCCGAGATAGAGGCGACGCTCATTATAATTGGTCAATTGACTGTCATGACAGCAGGCCCAAACTTATTTTCCGTGCATTTCGGGTACGTTCCGTTTCCGGTGCAAACTTGCCAATGACTCTAAAGGGCTTTGCAATAATTGACCAGATGATCACAACAGTTATAATCTTGAAATGCCACTGACAAAGAATTTCATAATATTATAATACTTTTACATTTAACATAAAAAACAAATCAGAAATATTAAAAAATCGTATAGGCATATCAATTTATTTCATGGAAACTTGTCGAATTCAGAGGATTAAAATCGATCATTCCGACTGCGCAAATTACGTAACCAAGTAGCAAATCACCTGTGTGGAAAGTTTGATTTGAGCCGGAAGCTACCGTATGTGATAGGCCTGTTCACTTTCTATCAGTCAGGGAGATTTAGACACAAAAAACTGACACAAAACACCCCGTAAACGCCAAATGCAACATATGTCTTTTCCAGCCACAGTTCTCCAAGCTTCCTCTTCGCTGCCAAACATACCATGACAGAAGCACCGACAGCTCTTTACTTCATAACACCATCTCTAGTTTTTTTCCGAATTTGTTTTGTTGCAGTGCGACGTTTTGTTCCTATTCCGAAATCACTGCTGAAAAGCTCAAGTCGAAAGCAATGGATGTACCATAACACTCTGGTATCTCTAGTTCACTCGGGTCTCTCATCATGTCTGGTACTGTACTGGTAAGTTGTATTTGTATTTAAAATAGTGTTGTCGTTAGGCAGATGTTAACTGAAACAAAACATCGCACACTATTTACCAAAAATAATTAGACCGACCGACTGTGCGATGAATGAAAACCACTGCTTTATTAATAGCCTGCGACTGTTTTGCGAGTGCCGTATTGTTTTGACGGCGGCGCCACGAGAAGATTGGGTATTTCGAGGCTTCGCCGCTCATGAAAATCGCTCGCTGCTCCGCCACCAAGAAAACATATCCCATCCTGCCAGTCATCCCGCCAGCTGCACTGGCTAAGTTCATTAGGGAGCTTTAGCATCGACGACGGCGACGGTCTAGCCTCGACCAAAGGCCTGTTCACAGGCTACGGCGACGACAGCGAAAACGTCACTTTGAAAAGGCATTCGCGTTTTTTCAAACGTTGTCGCGTTTATTCCAATCCGCTGAAAATGTCAAATGTAGGCGAATTTCCCTAGAGTTGATTTCTTGGGGACTGCGCACTCAAGTTAGAAAGAGAAAGAAAAAATTCGTCGTCGCTTGTTTACTTATTTATTACAGATTCACTCCACTACATTACAAGCAAATAATTAAATGAAATAAGCTAACACTACTATAAAAAAAAAGAAAAAAAAAAGAAAGTTGTGGAGAAGGAGACAACCAAAAGCGCCATGCGCCATACTACGTCCTCCATATAGCCTGAAATCACTCATTTTCACGTCGTAGTCGTGCAGTGACGGCAAAGAAAAGTGCAAAAAAGCGTGATGCCTTAAATGTTGGACTGAGAAAAGCTGCACTGGACTCTACGTTACGCGCACAGCACCGAGCTACTCTCGCATTGACGTTTCGTTTGCTTGGCTACCCGTACCAGGGATCTGTCAGTGGAGAGAAGGCCGGCAACGAAGGAGATTATGAGAACCTATCCTTCAGCCTTCTCTTTGATCTCTGTCTAAATGTAATCCTAACAATTCTTATTTTGTAACCACGTGACAAGGAGTCGGCCATGTTGGTTAAAAAATTCACCAGTGACCAGCAATACTACCAAATATAGTTAAATTTATTTATATAAACACCAATGAAATGACAGGTGAGCTTTCGCGCGAAAACTTGATTATCTTATGTTATCTTCACACGTGAAATATCACCGTTTTTATGGCACATAATCAATCGCGCCTTTCTCAGCAACAAAACTATTAAAGTGAAATGGTGTGGTATTTCATTGGTGTTTATATAATAAATAGAACATTACATGGCCGTTGGGAGATACGAAATTTCTCTTCTCGTGTTGAAAAAATAAAACGAATGACAAAATATTTCAACACTCGCAGAGAAATTTCGTATCTCCGCGCGGCCATGTATTTTCCTCTATATAACAAAAAGTAACATGATTTTTCTGTGTTTGTTCTGATCCTCAACTGCAGTTTTTACGATGAGCCAGCAATGGTGTATAATATGATTCACACGTGGAGCATGCTCTCATTTTACGTGGTTTGTTTCTCGGCAGGTGAATAAACTGTTTAATTTTGTGGACGTTTATAAAATTTTTGTTTTGCAGTAACTCCTTTCCAATCTGTATTATAAGACGACTCTGCTGGGAATAGAATCGAAATTACATTTTGTATTTTTAACGGGTTTATTTTAGCACAACTGCAATGGAAAATACAGGTAAAATAATATCCAAATTTATGTAATTGATTGATATGATTCATTGAAGGCGGTTTTATCCTCTTCAGTCCGTTCCCTGCTAGCAGAGGCCCCCTTTTGATTGACTTCTAGGTCGGCTGAAATTATGCAAAAGGTGTTGCCCTAGATTCCATAGCCTTTTCATGTGCTGTTTCTAGTGACACTCACTTTTCGCAGACCGTGAAAACCCAGAGGTTTGTCAATTCTCATTAAGGGATAGTGATTTTGCCGCCCGCTTGTTTTGTTGTTGTTTTTTTTTTGGTAACCTTAGCCTGCCTAGCAGGCGCTGGTTAACTTTAATTTTTACCTCTCCTTTTCTCCCCTCGCGTGTCCTCGAGATTTCTTCCTTCGTCTTAAAACCGGCGCCTGCTAATCAGGCTATGATAGCCTTTGTACAGCTGCCCCTTTAAAAAAACGAGTAAAAAGACCTGTTCGCCACCAACGATCATCTATTCAGTCTATTTACCTTGGGTAACAGATTTTTTTGTCGACTGCGCGCTTCAGCCAACCCTGTACTCGGTGGCGGGCAGCCCTAAAACTGCTGGAAGAGATGCCAAGAGAAACAACTTTCAAATGAAACCTAGAGACAGAATATACAGATGGATTCATTGCGACTTGCATTGAAGACATTGTTTTTGTTTCACAGGCTATTTTATCCATGATTTTTTTGACGTGCTTTTGCATGACTTACGCAACTCTGCTGGTCTCCTATTCCATCATGTACTGGTAAGTTAAACTGATGGACAACAAAAACCTTGCAGCTTGTTTTGTAACATTGCTTCAAAAAGAGTTGAAAAGCGATGTTGCGCGTTTTACCGCCAACAATTCAAACCTGTCTTGCATCAAATCAGGTTGTTGCAAGTTGCGTGAATACCAGACTTTTAATTGGATAAAATTACGCGGGAGTCACGCTATATACGAGAGTTATATACGTTCTTGTTCGTTCTTGTTGCAAAACAAGTTTGCCTTGGGCCGGTAAAGCGAGCCACATCAAAAAGTAGAACTACTGTCTACCTTCTTTCGCAACCTGCAGCAACCTGATTTGTAGCTGAGACAGGATTGAACGTGGCTAGTAAAACGCGCCCTGCATCATCGCGATTCAAGTCGTTTTGCAGCAGTGTTGCAAAACAAGTTGCACGGGTTTTTTTGCCCGTTTTGCCGTACCTCTAGTCTAGCCTGCGAGCAAGCTCTCCCATATGGGCGAGCGAAGCGAGCCGCGCGAGAACGCGCGAGCGAGCCTCTCGCGCGTCTACTTTTAACGATATCCCCAAATGGACAGCTTGCTCGCAGGCTACTTTAGTCTGATCTGTGCTACTGTTCTTTATTTTGCGCCACTCGTTGAACGGTTGGGAAGAAAACTCGATGGAACTGACAAGAGCAAAGGGCCTGCGGGGATCCCCTCCTTCCTTTCATTGATTCCGACCTTTTCGTTGCTCCAGCTAGAACGAGCCGAAGCAAATAAAAACTTTTGTTTGTGCGTTCGTTCTTGTATTAGTTTTAGTTCATGGGCATAATGGCCTCATGATCAACTTAAAGGATCATACAGCCATTGTCTCTTGGTTTATGCCTACGATCCCACAACTAACTAAAGATGCTTGAGTTGATCTAACTACTGTAGGATTAATACTAGGAGCAACCGTATTTCAGCGGACGGATTGTCGAAAAGCATTCTTTTCCCTTACCTCCCACACCTCGAGTGGGGCGAATGAATGGCAAGATTTCCCCCACCAAAATGAAACCTGAAACTTCTCAGGCAAAGTTCCTGTGTATTTGTTTTAGGGAAGGAGGATTGTCCCATTCTCGAAGAAAAACCGGTAGCATGCTCAAACATTTTTAGTTGAATGGTTGCTTCCGACACATAGCTTTAATTTGAAACAGAACAGTAAAGTCTTCTTTTTAATAGGGATTCAGACTGATAGTTAAAAATTCATTTCGCATAGTTAACAAATTTCTTTTTTTGAAAACGTTCAAGAAGAGAGGATAGTCGTTTTGCCTTTCACTTGGTGCACCTACCTTAGTAGGTACACAAGCTTAGTTACTCAAGGTAAGCCAAGTTCATCATTCACTGACGTTAGTTTACGCTTTATGAAAATCTACAAATACCTTGTATCGAGTAGCTACTCAGTTATAATAATTGTAACTTCACTACGACAGTGTACTGTGACATGTTAGCCTGGGTCCAGGCTCGGCTACAATGGGGAGAAGAGCTGAGCGATTTTCCCATCCCCAGTCCCTCGCTTGCCGATTTTTCTGCCCTCATTGCGAAGCATGGTCCCAGGCTAGTGGTATGTCTTCAGTCCTAATAGTAAATTGTATTTGTTATGTTCTCATATAGAGCTGCATGGCATGTACTTTTACGACGTTCTCGCAACTGTATCTCGCCTTTCCAACCGGCTGTCTCTTACTGGAAGTAAACAGTATTCCACTTCACCTCAGAAGGATCATGCGATATCACCAAATAGACCGATCAAGTCTTCTGTACCGCTTCAATCTAGCAATTCTACTCATCACTTTTGTTGTTTTCCGGTTTATTCCTGTCTCCTTTATGGAAATATATGTCATATTACATGGTCAGGATCAATATTTACCATATTACTTGTTCGGAGTGTTTGGGCTGGGTGGGATGGTAGTGGTTAATATAGTACTGTTTCTCTCCTTGTTTAATGCAGAATTTGGCAGAGATAAAAACCCTAAGCTTGAAAATACATAGTAAAAATGTTTAACTTGTGTAGTGTAATTGAAACAGATAGATTCTTCAAATCCAAATTTAAAGAAATGCAAGTTACTGAGTAATAAAAAATGAAACGCACTTCAATTGAGTGTCAATGTATTATATTTAGCACATAATTGAGAAAACTACTTATACCGTTTATGTCTACTACCGGACACGGGACCGCCATTTTACGTGGTTAAACCGTTTGCAGGGCTAAGGCAGTACCTTCAAACCAAGGCAAACGTGATAAAAGTTCGACTAAACGCTGCACAAATGATCACAATAGGCTGCCACATTCAACCAAAAGGGAACTCTTTATTAAAATGCGTACAATGTATAGTTTTCTTGTACTATGGGGGTTATCTTTATAACGCGTATTTATGATTGATTCTGTGAACATCAAGTCTATTCGTTTTTTCTTTCATTCATTATTTTTTTTGTTGTTGTGATTATTATTATTTTCTTTTTTGCGTTTACTCTGTCAGCAAGAGATACAGATTTAAAGAAACCATCGCTAATTTGGGCTGTAAATAACGTTATATTTGAAAAATCCTAAAACAGCATAATTAATTTTGCACAACGATAAAAAAAATGGAAATTAAGAGCCTGTTTACATGGAGGTGGGGGATTCCAGGTAGGTGAGGTAACTCGCTTAGCTGGGGTAACCCTCCTGTCCATATAATCTCTCATTTTAATTTGATCACGTTTACATGATAGGTGGGGTGACCCGCCGAGGGTTACCTCACCTACCTGGGGTCCCCCACCTCCATGTAAACAAACCCTTAAATAGCAAATTCCACTAACAATTCATTAGCAACAATTATCGCGACATCGATGAGTGGATGGAAATACATGGCTAGTTTCTTCTGATTAATATTCGGTACCAGAATTGACCTATTTTATAAGGCATTCTGTCAAATTAAATATTTAACAATTATTCCTCGAGCCCAAATGGGCTCTGAGTCAATAGCCCATGAGGCCGAAGGCCGAATGGGCTATTGACTCAGAGACCATGAGGGCGAGAGGAATAATTGTTTTAGTAAAATCCAACTAGTTGATCAAAAATATTGAGATAAAAAAAAAAGTCTAGCTAGTCAAAGCCAGACTTCAACCCTTTTTTGCCGCCAAAAAGCCCGTGCTTTTCGCTACTAGTGGGCTATAACATATAGCCTAGTAGTAGCTCAACCAATCAGAACGCAGCATTGATAATAGACCACTAGCTGGAGTTTACTAATACTTAGTATTCAAACTCTGGCGATCGTGATCATTGGCTGACCGCAGTGTTCATACAATTTGCGCACAATTAAACATTTTATGGAAATTACACCATTCTTGGTTTGCAAACACGTGATTAGGCGGTCATGTTGGTGGTTAATACAACAATTTTTTTCCGAAGAATTTACATGAAAATTAGCCACCATACAAATGAGAAAGAACTGGAGCTGGAATGCATCCCGCAATTGTCCCTGGGATTGTTACTGGGGACGCGCCAGTCCGCTATTTTTTTTTCCTTTCCTAGTGTCAGTCCCAAAAGTTTTTGCGAAAAGTCACTCACTTTCCTTCTCTTTTCTAAACTGGCGAATGGAGTTTAATTCCCAGAGTAGAGAAATGCTTTTGTTGGTCGCCACCAACATGGCTGCCGTGACGTCAAGTGCAAACCAACGATATTTTTCTCTTAATTATTTTTATATCATCTTTCCTTTTTAAGCATATTTAAATCATCTACGTCGCTGTTTGGATATTTTAAAGATAATCTTTTAACTCTGTTAATACTGCTGTCTGTAACATCATACGAAATGACTAGTGTTGTGCAAAGTTCTGCCAAGGAGATTTCATTTCAGTGGTAACACCAAAGGGTTTCGTCCCTCAGATATTAAGTTGGAGCGATAAATAATCTCGCACAACATGGTCGAGAAGTAAGAGGTTCGTGCTTAACGCCGCACTTAAGCCAGACGATAGCCTTCGTGGCAGGCGCCGGTTAGGTTTTTATAGGGCGCCCGAGAAGAACAAGCGAACGGAAGAGGAAGCCTCCTCTCCTTTTCTTCCCTCACGTGCGCCGCACTTCCTCAAAATTTCTCCTTTCCCCCCCTACGCCCCCCCCCCTCCCCCCCCCCCAAAAAAACGGCACCTGCTACGCAAGCTAGCCAGACGTTTAATTCGTCAAGTCTGTAACGTCCTCTGGTATAAATACGGACAATCTTTCATTCATTCTACGACCAAGGCTTGAGTTAAACCATTAAATAACAGAAAGAG